CTTTGACCTTCAGTCTTTCCCAGCATCAGGGTCTGCAGTGAGTGCTCCCTTCTCATTTGGTGGCCAAAGTATTTGAGCTTCAGTTTCAATATCTGGACTTCATGTGGCTCAAAAAGCAAATCAAGACAAATCGGGGTGTGGCTCCTAGCTGTGGTGTGTCAGCATGTGCTGCAAATAAGACATCAGCTGGTGATCTAGATGATCTGACAGTTCCTAACAGCCACTTCAGCTGAACTAAACTGGTTCTGACCAGTGCTGGTAGTCGAAGTCAGAGTGATTCAGCACTAATAGCTGATTGGTGGAGGTTGTGTACATAAGTGATCATGTATTGTACAGATTTTTCTCTGCTTATGGATGTGTGTATGGCGAAGCACTTTGTCAGTGCATACCAGCATCTTCTTTCTTGTGTAAATAAACTTGTAAATAACTTTTCCACAAGGCTGTGTGGACAGTTGCCTCTTTGGATATTACTCACTACCCCAGAATTCACAGCACACTACACCAACACGGTGAGTAAACGGAACCTCCATGTTCTGGGACAGCATAACTCTGATAAACCCTTTGCTAGGAACAAATAATAGGGCATCTGTGGCCCTGCTTAAAGGCTTTCCAGGGGCATCTGGCTGGCCAGCCACAAAAAAGAAACCGGACTAGGGATGCTTGGCTGCGGCCTGGCTCCTCATGAGCTTTGGGAATTTGTCGATTTATAAACTAAACTTTTAGACCACCCTCCTCTGTGCACACAAGGCTCAGGGCGGTGAACGACAATAAAAGACGTTAATAAATTAATAAAAACAGTTCAAAACAGTGAAAGAATACACAAAGCATTACCAGATGGCGCTAAAAACACCAGATTGTGCCACTACCTTGGTGGTGGTGGGGAGGCAGAGAATGGGGAGGGGGGGCCCTCCATTGATAGGGAGGCATCCAAAAAGGCCCTGGCGCTGGTCGAGGACAGCCAGATGTCTTTCAGGCTGGGGATCACCAATAGGTTCTTCTCTGCAGAGCGTAGTACTCTTTGGGGGGTATACCAGAGGAGGTGATCCTGAAGATACGTGGGTCCCGGACCATTTAGGGTCTTAAAAGTTAATACCAGAACCTTGAACACGGGTTGGATATATGCTGTCTGTGGTGTTCCAGTAAGGACCCGTGCCACTGCATTCTGGACCAGCTGCAGTTTCCGGATCCGTTTCAAGGGTAGCCCTGTGTAGAGTGAGTTACAGTAATCCAATCTGGAGGTGACTATTACTGTAGCTAGGTCAGGGTGAGACAGTGTCAGCAAGCTGCCATTCTGTTTTCTGTGACCTCTGTGTACATATCCTTTCCCTGTTACACCCGGCTTGGTTTCTATCATCCTGCTCCTGCTTTGGAATGCGTAAGATAACTGCTGGAGGTTGTGTGGGGGAGAAGATGCTGTAATGCTTGCCTATTGATTTTCCCATGAGTACTGCACCTGTGTTTTGTCTGATGTCCTGCCTGGTTCTCACGTACTGGGCGCGCAACCGTTTCATTAGCCCGCCAGCGGGAAAGCAATTCATTGGATCTGTATCTATTTGAAGTTCCTTTATTATGCTTGACCTAACTGTGTATCCCCAGTTCTAACAAAGAATGATCATTTCCCCTCTCTCTCTTCCAAAGAACCAAGGAATGTAAAAGAGAGCAGAGGTCCATCAGTGGCTATTAACCACAAGGTATAGATAGGAACTCTCAGTTTCCAGTTAAGACCCAGAATACAATAGTAAACCTGACATCTTTCTCCCTTCACTCCCTTAAGAGATGCCCACCATTCAAACCCCTATAAAAGCCCTGATAAGCAAGCTGGCCTTGCAGCCCCACTGGAAGATCTCCGAGGAGGAGGTCTGTCCCCCCCATCCTCTTCAGGGAGCCCAGCCAGAACCACAACAGAAAAGCCCCGGGCCCTGATAAATGGCAAATCTTAGACTGGTTGTGTGCCAAGATGTCAGCTTTTGGATTATTGTGCAAATGTTTCTGAGTTCTTTGTCTGTGTAGGACAGGTGTAAAAATATCCTGTTTGTAGGAGGGAAAACAATCGAGTAAAGAGAGACGCGGCATGAGCCCTTTGGCCTAAACATCTGGTTGTGGGCTCCTTCTCGGGCTGTGTTTCAGGCAGGGTTTTGGAGCTGCGAGTGCTTCATTGACTAGGCTTCCCAAGTCCCCCCGGGGGGCGGGGAAACCCCCGCCCCAGAGGCCCGTTCCCCGCCGGCGGCGGATTGGGCCCCGGGGGGAACCCCACCCCGGCATGCGCGGCACCAGGAAGTGACATTATGACGCCGGGCACGCCG